AGCAACTAGAGGAGAGCAACAAGAGCACACCAAACCCAGTAGGAGAAGATGAATAATAAAAATCAGGGCAGAAATAAACAATATAGAAATGAATGAAACAGCTGAACAGATCAATGAAACCAAGAATTGGTTTTTTGAAAAAATAAACAAAACTGACAAACCTCTAGCCAGGCTTCTCAAAAAGAAAAAGACCACACAAATAGACAAAATCATGAATGAAAATGGACTGATTACAACCAACCCCTCAGAAATACGAGCAGTTATCAGGGAATACTATGAAAAACTATATGCCAATGAACTGGACAACCTAGAAGAACTGGATAAATTCCTAAACACACACACACTACCAAAATTCACACCAGAAAGATAGAAAACCTGAAGAGATCCATAACAAGTGAGGAAATCGAATCAGTTATCAAAAATCTCCAACAAATAGCAGCCCTGGGCCAGATGGGTTCCTTGGGGAATTCTACCAGACATTTAAAAGAGAATTAATACCCATTCTTCTCAAACTATTCCAAAAAATAGGAATTGATGGAAAATTTCCAGACTCTTTTTATGAAGCCAGCATCACTTTGATTCCCAAGCCAGACAGGGACCCAGCAAGAAAGGAGAACTACAGGCCAATATCCCTGATGAATATGCAAAAAACCTCAACAAGATACTTGCAATTCAACAACACATAAAAAGAATTATCCACCAAAATCAAGTGAGATTCATTCCTGGGTTATAGGGCTGGTTGAATATTTGCAAATCAATCAATGTGATACATCACATCAACAAAGAAAAGATAAAAACCATATGATCCTGTCGATTGATGCGAAAAAGCATTTGACAAACTACAGCATCCCTTCTTAATAAAGACCCTCAAGAAAGTCAGGATAGAAGGAACCTACTTAAACATCATAAAAGCCATCTATGACAAGCCTTCAGCTAACATCATCCTCAACGGGGAAAAACTGAGAGCTTTCCCCCTGAGATCAGGAACACGACAGGGATGTCCACTCTCACCACTGTTGTTGAACGTAGTGCTGGAAGTTCTAGCATCAGCCATCAGACAACAAAAGGAAATGAAAGGCATCAGAATTGGCAAAGAAGAAGTCAAACTTTCACTTTTTGCAGACGACATGGTACTCTACATAGAAAACCTGGCAGACTCCACCAGACGCCTACTAGAACTTATCCAAGAATTCATCCAAGTTGCAGGGTACAAAATCAACGTACAGAAATCGGTTGCATTTTTATACACCAACAATGAAGCAACAGAAAGAGAAATCAAGAAACTGATCCCATTCACAATTGCACAAAAAACCATAAAATACCTCGGAATAAACCTAACCAAGGATACAAGAGATCTGTATGATGAAAACTATAGAAAACTTATGAAGGAAATTGAAGAAGACACAAAGAAATGGAAAAACATTCCATGCTCATGGATAGGAAGAATAAATATAGTTAAGATGTCATTACTACCTAAAGCACTCTACACATTCAATGCAATTCCAATCAAAATTGCACCAGCATACTTCTCAAAACTAGAACAAACTATCCAAAAATTTGTATGGAACCACAAAAGACCCCGAATAGCCAAAGTAATACTGAAAAATAAAACCAAAACGGGAGGTATCACCATCCCAGACTTCAGCCTCTACTACAAAGCTGTCATCCTCAAGACAGTATGGTATTGGCACAAAAACAGACACATAGACCAATGGAACAGAATTGAGAACTCAGAAGTGGACCCAAAAGTATACAGCCAACTGATCTTTGACAAAGCAGGAAAGAATATCCAATGGAAAAAAGACAGCCTTTTTAACAGATGGTGTTGGGAGAACTGGACAGCAACATGCAGAAGAATGAAACTAGATCATTTTCTCACACCATGCACAAAAATCAACTCAAAATGGATAAAGGACCTGAACGTGAGACAGGAAACTATCAACACCCTAGAGGAGAAAGCAGGAAACAACCTCCTTGACCTCCACCGCAGCAACTTCTTACTTGACACATCCCCAAAAGCAAGGGAATCAAGAGCAAAAATAAACTGTTGGGACCTCATCAAGATTAAAAGCTTCTGCACAGCCAAGGAAACAACCCAGAAAATTAATAGGCAACCAACGGAATGGGAAAAGATAGTTGCAAATGACATATCAGATAAAGGGTTAATATCCAGAATCTATAAGGAACTCACCAAACTACACGCCCGAAAAACAAACAACCCAGTGAAGAAATGGGCAGAAGACATGAACAGACACTTCTCCAAAGAGGACATCCAGATGGCCAACAGACACATGAAACGATGCTCAGCATCCCTCCTCATCAGGGAAATACAAATCAAAACCACACTGAGATACCACCTCACGCCAGTCAGAGTGGCTAAAATGAGTAAATCAGAGAAGTCTAGATGCTGGCGAGGATGTGGAGAAACGGGCACCCTCCTACACTTTTGGTGGGAATGTAACCTGGTGTAACCCCTCTGGAAAACAATGTGGAGGTTCCTCAAAAAATTAACAATAGTATTCCCCTATGACCCAACAATAGCACTGCTGGGAATTTACCCAAGAGATATAGAAGTGCTGATGCATAGGGGCACATGTTCCCTAATGTTCATAGCAGCACTCTCAACAATAGCCAAAACCTGGAAAGAGCCTAAGTGTCCATCAACAGATGAATGGATCAAGAAGATGTGGTACATGGCAATGAGAAAGAATGAAATCTGGCCATGTGTAGCAACATGGATGGACATTGAGGGTGTTATGCTGAGCGAAAAAAGTCAGGCAGAGAAGGACAAATATCATATGTTTGCACGTATAGGAGGATTAGGAAGAACTTAACAGAGGACCGTGGTGGAGAAGAAGGGGGAAAATAGTGGCAGAGAGGGAGAGAGGCAAACCATGAGAGACTCTTGAATGCTGAGAACAAACTGAGGACTGATGGGTATGGGGGTGAGGGTCGGGTGATCGGCATGGAGGAGGGCATTTGTGGGGATGAGCACTGGGTGTTATATGGAAACCAGCTTGACAATAAACTATTTACTAAAAAAAGAATTCATTCTCTTCATTAATATTGATGAATTTAGTTAATTGCCTTTCTGAGGTTTCTTATAACTCATTTAATATTTTCCTAACTGCTATTTTGAGTTCTTTTATCAGTTAGAACACAATATTCCATGCCTTACAGTTTGGTGGCTAGAGAATTATCATTTTTTAAAATGATATATATTTCTTTGTTTTTTCATAATATTTGATAGTGTGTGTTTTGTGATCACATTTGAAGTAGCAGACGCCTTCTTTAGTTAAGAATTTATGAAAACTTTGTTTCTTGCAATTCAAGGGTCAGGCAATTAGAAATCTTCTTTCTGTATTCCAGAAGGTGGGATTTCTCCTCAGGGCTGCACTTGGCAGCACATACAAAGTATTGTCAGCAGAATGGGAGGTGCTATGATTAGCACCTGGGGCTTTACAGGGAAGATGGGTGGGTGGGGGTGGAAGGGGGGGTACTTTGGAAGGTGCCCATAGGTAGCCCAGTAGGGGAATCCTTAGTGAGGCAAGGTACCCCCAGCAGTCCAAGGACAGACCTCCTGCTTAAATCTAAAAGCAGAGATTAGGAAATGCATGCCTTCAATGCCCTTTGATATTTCCCCAGTCATGGAGGTCCTCCCTCTAGCTGCAACCAACACAGCTGGAGTAGTCAGGTGGTCAGTCACTACTTTTGCTTTCCACCTCCTGTGCAGGAGAAGTTGCTTCTGATACTGCAAAGCCTAATGCCTTACAGACACCCTGGGGAGTGGGGCCATCTTGGTGAGTTCCTCCATTTCCCCTGTCTCATCTCTATCCCACTCTGATGGTGTGCTGGATTCCCTGGTGAGGTAATTGACCTCAAAAATTCTCTATTGGCTGTGGGTATCTGCTCAGGTTTGTACTCTCTTGGTTCCCTTTTTCTTGATTGTGGAGAGTGAGGGTGGAGCATACTCATGGACTCTCTTGGATCCACTGTCCCCACTGAGGTCCTAACTCCCCACTTTTGGAGATACAGGTGGGTAGAAATCCTGGATATTGTTATAACATCTGGAGGAACTTCAGGTTCATTATGGATGTCTAATTAGTTGTAAGTCAAAGAGGAAGGGAAAAAGGAATAACTGCCATGGTGCAGATGTCATTATGATTAGCTACTTTAATTGCCTTTACTTTTTTTTAAGTTTATTCCTTTTGAGAGAGGGAGAGAGCAAGAGTGAGTAAGGGAGGGGCAGAGAGAGAGAGAGACGGAAAGAGAATCCCAAGCAAGCTTTGCATGATTCATGAACCATGAGATCATGCCCTGAGCCAAAATCAAGAGTTGGACACTTAACCTACTGAGCCACAGATGCCCCAAATTGCTTTTACTTTTAATTAATCATTAGTAATTTTGTCTAGAGTTTCACAATTAACATTTCTAAAATAGGGGATGCATAACAGTCTTGCTTAGATGATGTATGATGATACTATTTATGAAATAGTTAAAGTACATTTTTGCCAGATACTGAAATGTGTATCTCTTATGTTCATGTTACGTGGTTATATCTAACATTGGAAAGCACAAAATAATAATCTTTAAAAAAGAATGACATTGTGAGAAACATAAACCCTGGGGTTATGTTTACCAGGGATAAAAATTTGTATTTAAACTTGAGGAGGTGGGGTTGCCAAAGTATACCCCATGGAACAAATCCAGCCTGCTACCTGTTTTTGTATGTCTTATGAGGTAAGGATAGATCTACATTTTTAAATGGTTGAAAAAATAAGAATGGTATTTTGTGACATGTAAAAATTATATGAAATCCAAGTTTCCTTGTCTATAAATAATGTTCTGTTGGGACACATCTGGGTTTTTTTCTTTTACATATTGTCTATGACTACTTATGCGCTGTAGCAGCAGAGTTGAGTAGTTATGACAGAGACCTTATTGTTTGCAAAGCTCTAAATATTTATTTATTTATTATTATTATTTTTTTTCTCATTAAACTTTTAATGGGTCTCAAAATTCTGTGACAGATTTTTGGTCAAGTTGTTTCCATTAAAAAGTACTGATTTTAAAAACTAATAACTTAAAACTGCCACACACAAAAACAAATGGTCCACAAAACATTCTCCTTTCCTTCTGAAGGTTTTACGATGCATTGTTATCATTAACCAGTCTTTTACTATTAAACTTAAATGGCCAATTGACACAAACAGTTCTGAGACCGTTCTTCCACCACTGATTAAGACTGGGGTGGCAGGTATTGGGGATAATATTCATTTAGCCTTCTGAGCTTTCTGGGCAGACTTGGTGACCTTGCCAGCTCCAGCTGCCTTCTTGTCCACTGCTTTGATGACACCCACAGCAACCGTCTGTCTCATGTCACGAACAGCAAAGCGGCCCAGAGGAGGATAGTCAGAGAAGCTTTCAACACACATGGGCTTGCCAGGAACCATATCAACGATGGCAGCATCACCAGATTTCAAGAACTTGGGACCATCTTCCAGCTTCTTTCCAGAACGACGGTCAATCTTCTCCTTCAGCTCAGCAAACTTGCAGGCGATGTGAGCTGTGTGACAGTCCAGCACAGGTGCATAGCCGGCACTGATTTGGCCTGGATGGTTCAGGATAATCACCTGAGCTGTGAAGCCAGCTGCTTCCATTGGTGGGTCATTTTTGCTATCACCAGCCACATTGCCACGACGAACATCTTTGACAGATACGTTCTTGACATTGAAGCCCACATTGTCCCCAGGAAGAGCCTCACTCAAAGCTTCATGGTGCATTTCAACAGACTTTACTTCAGTTGTAACGTTGACTGGAGCAAAAGTGACCACCATGCCAGGCTTGAGAACACCAGTCTCCACTCGACCCACAGGGACCGTACCAATACCACCAATTTTGTAGACATCCTGGAGGGGCAGACGCAAGGGCTTGTCAGTTGGACGAGTTGGTGGCAGAATGCAATCCAGAGCTTCAAGCAGTGTGGTTCCACTGGCATTGCCATCTTTACGGGTGACTTTCCATCCCTTGAACCAAGGCATGTTAGCACTTGGCTCCAGCATGTTGTCACCATTCCAACCAGAAATTGGCACAAATGCTACTGTGTCAGGGTTGTAGCCAATTTTCTTAATGTAGGTGCTGACTTCCTTAACGATTTCCTCGTATCTCTTCTGGCTGTAGGGTGGCTCAGTGGAATCCATTTTGTTAACACCAACAATAAGCTGTTTTACACCCAGTGTATAAGCCAGAAGGGCATGCTCACGGGTCTGCCCATTCTTGGAGATACCTGCTTCAAATTCGCCAACACCAGCAGCAACGATCAGGACAGCACAGTCAGCCTGAGATGTGCCTGTAATCATATTTTTGATAAAGTCTCTGTGTCCTGGGGCATCAATGATGGTCACATAGTACTTGCTGGTCTCGAATTTCCACAGGGAACTATCAATGGTGATACCACGTTCACGTTCGGCTTTCAGTTTATCCAAGACCCAGGCATACTTGAAGGAGCCCTTTCCCATCTCAGCAGCCTCCTTCTCAAATTTTTCAATAGTTCTTTTGTCGATCCCACCACATTTGTAGATCAGATGACCAGTAGTGGTAGACTTGCCCAAATCTAAGTGTCCAATGAAGACGATGTTGATATGAGTCTTTTCCTTTCCCATTTTGGATTAGGTTTAGCGGTGGTTTTCACGACACCTGTGTTCTGGCGGCAAACCCGTTGCGAAAAAAAAAAAGCTGCAAAGCTCTAAATATTTATTATCTGTCCCTCTACAGAAAAGTTTGCCGACCTCTGCCCCAAAGAAACTAAGATATTAGAAATAGATTAGGAACTTACTAGTAGCTACTTAAGGCATCCCTGAAAGTTGAAACAAGAAGGTATATTAATGGTAGTGTTTTTGGATTGGAAACAGAATTCTCTATTCCCATTTCCTTAATTTTTTGTTCTAAGATACCATTCAAGACTCCTAGCAGGATATAGTGCTTTAGTGGGACAGCAGATCCCTCAGTATGGTGTAAGAACCTTGTATTACTCACTACCTTTATGACTCTCACTGTGATCCAAATTACTTTAATCTCTCTGATTACTTGGATTTCACCCTTGCCTTCCAGTGAATCCCAATATAGCAGCCACAGGGATCTTTTTAAGATTCAGGTCACCCCTCTGCTTATGATTCAGTTATAACTCTCCATCTTTCTTGATTCAGAGTCAAAGCCATTTATAGCACCTCTCAGAAGATACTGGAATATCTGTCACCTATAATTGTCTTAATAGCTTATCTTCTGTTTTATTGTATTATTTTATTCTGTTTCAGCCACATTTGCTTTCTTGCTATCCCTCAAATAGTCTAGAAACATTCCTACCCCAGACTGGTTTACTTATTGTCCTCTCTGCCTAAATTATTCTCCACTCATATCCACATGGCTGATCCTCTCACTTCTTTCATGTTCTATGTAGTAGTTTTATCAGTTGCTGAGAATGGGGTATTGAATTTCCCAAGTATAACTGAGTTTTTCTATTTATCTTTTCAGTTCTATCAGTTTTTTCTCCCATATATTTTGAAGCTCTCTTGTTTTGTGCATACACATTTATATATTTTTAAATCATTATTTAATCCCTTCTTGTTTCTGGTAAATTTTTTCTCTGAGGTCTACTTTATGTGATAATAATATAGCTACTCCTGCTTTAAAAAATTAATGCTGCCATGGTATATGTTTTCTATAATTTTCTTTTTATTGTTAAATTTTAAGTGAATTTCTTACAGACAGCATATAGCTGAGTCATTTTTAAATTTTTATTTATTTATTAAATTTTAAATTTTTATTTATTTTACTTACTTTTAGAAGTTTTAATTTAAGTGCCCTCCTTAATCCCCAAGTGCCCTCCTTAATCTCCATTACCTATGTAACAAATTCCCCCCACCCACTTCTCCTCTGGTAACCATCGGTTTATTCTCTATAGTTAAGAATCTATTTTGGGGGCACCTGGGTGGCTCAATCAGTTGAGCATCCGACTTCAGCTCAGGTCATGATCTCATGGTTTGTGAGTTTGAGCCCCATGTTGAGCTCACTGGCTGTTAGCTTGTCAGTGCAGAGCCTGCTTCGGATCTTCTGTCCCTCTCTGCCTCTGCCCTGGTTGCACTCTCTCAAAAATAAATAAGTATTTTTTAAAAAAAGAATCTGTTTCTTGGCTTGCCTCTTTTTTTGTCCCTTTGCTCGTTTGTTCTGTTTCTTAAATTCTGCATATGAATGCAATAATATGGTATTTGTCTTTCTCTGACCGACTTATTTCACTTAGCATAATGCACTAACTCCATCCATGTCCTTACAAATGGCAAGAATTTGTTCATTTTTATGGCTGAATAATATCCCAGTGTGTGTGTGTGTGTGTGTGTGTGTGTGTGTGTGAACATACATATCTTCTTTATCCATTCATTTATCAATCGATGGATACTTGGGCTGTTTCCATAATTATAGTGTTGCTATAAACATAGAGGTGCATTTATCTATTCAAATTAATGTTTTTGTATCCTTTGAAAAAAATGCCTAGTAGTGTGATTGCTAGATTGTAGGGTAGTTCTATTTTCAAGTGTTTTAAACTTAAAGTTAATTGTTTTTCTTTTATAGTTTATTGTCAAGTTGGTTTTCATGTAACACCCAGTGCTCATCCTAACAAGTGCCCTGCTCCTTAAAGTTAATTTTAACTTTAACATACTGTTTTTGGGGAAGCTGGGTGGCTCAGTCGGTTGAGCATCTAACTTTGGCTCAGGTCACGATCTCACGGTTTGTGAGTTCAAGCCCCACATCGGGCTCTGTGCTGACAGCCTGGAGCCTGAAGCCTCCTTCGGAATCTGTGTCTCTTCCTTTCTCTGCCTCTCCTGTGTTCATGGTGTTTCTCAATAACATACTGTTTTCCAGAGTAGTTGCACCAGTTTGCATTCCTACCAACTTTATAAGAGGGTTCCCTTTTCTCCACATCCTTGCTAACACCTATTGTTTCTTGTGTTGTTGGTTTTAGCCAATGGTGATACCTCATTGTATTTTGGTTTGCATTTCCCTGGTGATAAGTGATGTTGAACTGCTTTTCATGTGTTTGTTGGCCATCTGTGTCTCTTCTTTAGAAAAACTATCTAGTCAATCCTCTGCCCATTTTTAAATTAGATTGTTTGTTTTCAGAAGTTCTTAATTTTAATGAGTAACAGCTTATCAATTATTTCTTTTGTGAGATGATTATTTCTTTCTTTTGATATTATATCTAAAAAGTCGTTACTATACCCAAAGTCTACTGGCTTTTCTCTGATGTTATTTTCTAGGAGTGTTATAGTTTTAAGTTTTATATTTAGGTCTGTGATGCATTTTGAGTTAATTTTTGTGAGGAGTGTAAGGTATGGGAGAAGATTTATTTTCTTTAAGTGGATGTCCAGTTGTTCTAACATCATTTGTTGAAAAGAATATCTTTGCTCCATAGTATTGCCTTTGCTGCTTTGTCAAAGATAAGTTAACTATATTTATATGGGACTTTTTCTAAGCTGTCTGTTCTGTTCCACTGATTTATTTGTCTATGTGTTCACCAATACCACACTATCTGGATTACTGTAGTTTTATCAGGTAAATCTTGAAGGAGAGTAGTGTCAGTCCTCCTACTTTGGTCTCTTTCAACACTATTGAGTATTGGCTATTCTGGATTCTTTGGATTCTTCACATAAATTTTACAGTCAGTTTGCCAATATCCAAAAAATGTCTTGCTGAGATTTTGATGGCATTGCACTGAATCTATAGACTAAGTTGTGAAGAATTGATATCTTGTCTTATTCATGAACATGGAATATCTATTTATTTGGTTTTCCTTTGTTTTTATTTATAAGATTTTTGTTAATATTTGTTTTTTAATTGGTACATTTAGACCAACAGTTTTCTGTTGTTTTTTTTTTAATGGTAACACAAATTTTTATAGTTTGCCTGAATGATATGAAAGGTAAGTCCCAAAAAATTCTTTCAAGGAGAAGTCAGAAAAGGCTTTCAAGTACTCCTCTTTACCCTTTTCCTCTGAACAGCAGTGGTCTGGTTTAGATTCTTTATGAAGGAGAAGACAAAGATTGGTCTTTCTTTTTTGACTTCAACTCTATTTTAGTTGGTGTTTTCTTTGTTTGCATGTACAGTCTGTCCCTCCTAATACTCTCACTTATATCTTCTCATTATTTGTTTTCCACTATTTATCTTTTGGATTGTGACCATAGAGTTTCAGATTAAAATATAAATTTCTTAGTGTGTTATTTCCAGGGTCTTTCCTGTGATCTGACCCCAACATATTTTATCAACATTTTTTCCCTTTGTTTCTCTTCTGTAACTTAATAGTGTAACCAAATGAACAATTTTTTTTCTTTGTCCTTGCCCTTCTCTGGGCCTTTGATATACCACCAATTACCTCAAAATTATTTATAACTTAAAAGAATATTAGAAAATGTGGAGGAGAAGAGATGGAGTATAATCTAACTCTCTGGGTTCAGAGTGGCCAGGTGTCAAATGTATCAGTGCAAATAAAGTAACCCCGATGTTACAGAGGACCAGAGGAAACTGAGAAAGACAATTGGGACTTACCAGCTGATACTGGACGAATTACTAAAAAAGAAAAGAAAATACATTATTATTTTTTAAAATTATGTACTCAGTTCCTATTGCAAATCTACTTGGAATATTAGAAAAGTTACTTTTGGGAAACATTAAATCTTATATGAATATGATATCCTTTATTAATTCAATATTAACTACACTTTAAAAACCTAAGAATGTAGACCTTTTTGGAAGACCTGTTTTGTGGATTATATGAAAAAAATTTACTTTTTTTAATGAAATAATTTTTTTAAACACTCTTAACAATACCAAGGGTCACAGCCTTGCAGGAGACTGGTTACCAGTTAAAGGTTACTAACTTAACTTCCTTCTTCATCATTTTATCTCCCTTTCAAACCTCTATCACCATGTCTGCTTTCATTTTATTTCTTTTTGCAGTATATGAAGATTATAACTATCAATTTAAAAACTTCTGTCATAATCATTTATCTCTGTGGGTTTTTTTCTTTCTCATAATCTCTAGGGTTAAATCTGGATTCTAAAATCTGTCTTAAGAGGTAGCATGAGTCATGAATTCGACAAAGCTACAGGATATAAAAATCATTGTGCAAAAATCTGTTGTATTTCTATACACCAGTCATGAGGCAGCAGAAAAAAGAAATCAAGGAACCAATCACATTTGCAATTGCACCAAAATAATAAGATACTTAGAAATAAACCTAACTAAAGAGGTAAAATAAGATCTGTACTCTGAAAACTATAGAACACTTATGAAAGAAATTGAAGAGAACACAAAGAAATGGAAAAGCAAACCGTGTTCATGGATTGGAAGAACAAACATTGATAAAATGTCTATATTACCCAAAACAATCTACACACTTAATGCAATCCCTATCAAAAACCACCAGCATTTTTTGCAGAGCTATAACAAACAATTCTAAAATTTGTATGGAACCACTAAAGACCTTGAATAGCCAAAGCAATCCTGAAAAAGGAAAACAAAACTGGAGGCATCACAATTCCAGATTTCAAACTTTATTACAAAGCTATAGTCATCAAGACAGAATGGTACTGGCACAAAAACAGACACATAGTTCAATGGAACAGAATAAATAACCCAGAAATGGACCCACAATTATATGGCCAACTAATCGTCGACAAAGCAGGAAAGTTTATCCAATAGAAAAAAGACAATCTCTTCAACAAATGGTGTTGGGGAAACTGGACAACAACATGCATAAGAATGAAACTGGACCGCTTTCTTATACCATACCCCAAAATAAATTAAAAATGGATGAAAGACCTAAAAGTGAGACAGGAAGCCAAAATCCTAGAGGAGAACACAAAGAGCAACCTCTCTGAACTCAAGCAGAGCAACTTTTTACTAGACATGTTGCCGAAGGCAAGGGAAACAAAAGCAGGGGCGCCTGGGTGGCCTGGTCGGTTAAGCGTCCGACTTTCGCTTAGGTCATGATCTCGCGGTTTGTGGGTTCGAGCCCCGCGTCGGGCTCTGTGCTGACTGCCAGCTCAGAGCCTGGAGCCTGTTTCAGTCTGTGACTCCCTCTCTCTCTGACCCTCCCCTGCTCATGCTGTCTCTCTCTCTCTCCTAGAAATAAATAAAACATTAAAAAAAAAAAAAAAGCAAACATGAACTATTGGGACTTCGTCAAGTTAAAAAGCTTCTGCACAGCGTAGGAAACAATCAACAAAACTAAAAAGCAGCCTACAGAATAGAAGATATTTGCAAGCCATGTATCTGATAAAAGGTTAGTATGCAAAATCTCTAAAGACCTTATCAAACTCAACACGCCAAAACCTAAAAACCCAGTTAAAAGATAGAAGACACAAAGACACTTTTCCAAAGAAGACATACAGTTGGCCATCAAGACACATGAAAAAATGCTCAAATGATTATAATCAGGGAAATACAAATGAAAACCACAATGAGATACCACCTCACACATGTCAGGATGGTTAAAATTAATAGCACAAGAAAAAACAGGTGTTTTCAAGGGATACAGAGAAAGGGATCCCTCTTGCACTGTTGGTGGGAGTACAAACTAGTGCAAGCCACTCTGGAGAATAGTATGGAGGTTCCTCAAAAACCTAAAAATACAACTACCATACAGTTCAGCAATTGGAATATTAGATATTTATCCAAAGGATACAAAAACACATAGTCAATGGGGTACATGCACCCCAACATTTTTAGCAGTATTATCAACAATAGACAAAATATGGAGGAAGCCCAAATGTCCCTCGAATGATGAAAGGATAAAGAAGATGCGGCATGTATGTACAATGGAATATTAGTCAGACATCCAAAAGAATGAAATCTTGCCATTTGTAACAACATAGATGGAACTTGAATGTATTATGCTAAGTGAACTAAGTCAATCAGAGACAAATACCATATGATTTCACTCATATGTGGAATTTAAGAAACAAAACAGTTGTGGGATGTGGGCGGGGGGAAGAGAGAGAAACAAATTGCAAGAGATTCTTAACAGTAGAGGAAAAACTGAGAGTGGAAGGAGGAAGGAGGTTGGAAGGAGGTGGGTGGGGGATGGGCTATATGGGTGATGGGTCCTAAGGAGAACACTTGTGATGAACAGTGGGTGTTGTATGTAAGTGATGGATCACTGACTACTACTCCTGAAACCAATATTGCACTGTACAGTAACTAAAATTTAAATTAAGAAAAAACAGAAGGGCTTTGTGTTGCCAGCTCAGAGCCTGGAGTCTTCTTTGGATTCTTTGTCTCCCTCTCTCTCTGCCCCTCCCCTGCCTGCACTCTGTCTCTCTCTCTCTCTCAAAAATAAACTTTAAAAATTTTTTAAAAGTAACTAATATAGTCTCTCTGACTAATTGAGTTGGTGAAGTCATCCTTCAGTAACTAGAATGTAAAAAATTTATGTCTATTTTAGGTTGTATAGATAAGGATAGGGAAATATACATAATTCTTAGGAAATTGGGAAAAAGATTCCATTCACTGGTGAGTTTTGAAAAAATGTCTTTCTTGAAAATCATCCACTGAAAAGTATGCTAAAGTAGACCCTATGAAGCCCTTGTAGGAGGAAGAAATCGGGTGTTGTCACATTCGAACTTAGCTTTCATGCCCTTTCTCATTTGGCTGAGAGGAGAAGATACTAAAGATAACACAAATTAAAGTTTTAGAAAAATTAAATAATTTACCCAAAGCCACATATCTGGTTAAGTGTTTTAGCTAGGATTTGAACCTAGGTCCGTCTGATTACTTTATTAACCATTGCAATGTTACCTTTTTTTTTTACAAGTTAAATTCATGCAAAAAAACCCCAAACAAATATCATGCAAATGGTTTAATTCCATATTTAGAATTATTCCTTAGAACATATCTCTTGAAATGAAATTATGAGTTTAAGGGATACTGTATTTCATTGTACCTTGCAACATACTGCAAATTTGCTTTCCAAAAGAGTTACATAAATTTAAATGGGATCAGTGCTGTATGAAGGTATAATTTTTCCCAAAGCACTGCTGGTGTTGCTTATCATATTTAGATCTTTCTTTTTATCAGCTAAAAAATACTACCTTTTGTGTTTTAATTTTCATTTCATTTATCTATCTATCATCTATCTATCTGTCTATCTAAATATTGGGCATATTATAGTTTCTAAATTCATCTGTAACTTAAAGAGGTACTGGATAATGGGTATGTAAAGGGGGTTGAGAATATGAATGTGAAATTCTTTACTTGAAGGAAATGTTTCTATAGGACAGCGGAATTAAGAATAGATGAATGATAACTTACTAATAGGTATTGGAGTAACTGGCAGAATAATATGAAACAAAAATATATTAAGAGAGTTTTTGGATCAAGAATATAGTTTCCTTCTTTTCTTTTCCCAAGGTATTAGCAACTAGATGTTTGGAAGATGGCCAGACCTCCTCTAGTACAAAAATCCATAATGAAATAAGAAGGATTAGTATTTCTTTTGTGGTTCAGGAATAGTTTCAATCTGATATAATTGTCATCCTTATATTTCATTTTAGTAGAAAGCAGAGTAGGCTAGAATATGTATGCGTAGGTCATTCTTTTTCTTTATCACATAGTATGGAGGATTTAAATCCTGCAGAGAACTTTTAAATTGTAAATTTGAATGCTAATTGCAGGTATTCTTTTTCCTCTCCTTACACCGAAGAGTAAGGTCCTGATTTTTCCTCTGCCCTTTGTTGGCATCTCCACATTGTGATATCCCACCCTATATATCTTTCCTTTTATTTGTTATTAAAAGCTATTTGAAATTATTTTTAGAAAACAAATTTGTTTCTTTTATAGTCTCTTAGTCAAATGTTTATTCTTTCTATTGGGTAATAACCCAGTAGGTTGCCAAGAGGGAGGGGAAATATTTATAAATACAAGCATTGAATGGAAATGGTCAGTTAGAAAAAATTTTCTCCTTATTTTGCGATCCCATCTTGCACCAGATTTATGAAACGAAACAGAACTTACTGAGAGGTACTGCTACATGTGCTAAAATCCAAACACAAATTATTAGTATGGGTTGACATTGATAACAAAATTTACATTGACAATAATTTTACTGGTACTGTTTACAAATGGGAATTTCTAGAATGAAAAGGGAATGCAAACTCTAGACCTTTCACATGAGTTACTTTAGTCTCTCTTTTCCAGTAACACGGTCATTTTGAAAGAGTGGCAAAGAACTAACTTGTTTTCCTTTTATCATTGAATACCGCAGAGCTGGAAAAGCCTCATTTTCTATAAATTTTGCTTCTATTTTGATTCTACTCCCTTCTCTCATTGCTTACTCTGAGTTTTTCCATATTTCTCTGTCATTTCTACCTTATATTTAGTTGAAAATGTATTTTGTTGAAAGCTCAGTAGAGTCAATCCGAAGAGATTTTCATCTCACTCTTAATTTCAGTGCACATGAGGAGCTCCAGCCAGTCAGAAATGAGGATAGATCTTACTTTTCCTGCCTCCTTCCTCAGGCAATAGTATATGATCTCTGTTATGTCCTTATCATGAATCTTTTGAAGTATGTAAAGTTTTGCTTTAGGTAGGACTTTTTAACTTACTAGGAAAAAAATCAACATGATTGATTTTTTTCACCAGTCTTTGTGGACTATGTTTTCTGTAAAATGATAGATATTCTAGTAGAATTCTGAGAAGGTATGAGAAATATAAATGTCAATCTTTCTTTTGAAATGGAAACAGATACATTTAGGAAAAATACCCACAGTGAATACATAACAGAAATATCAAACAGAAAAGGAGTTTCTTAGAATTGCAGTGTCTTAAAGTGGATACAGAGAACATGGCTGTCCTTGATACTGTTTAATGGGTGAAGACAGAAATAGACTCTCTACTACTACCAAAGCATTATTCATCAGATGCAAGATCTCCATTTTTAGAAGTGGAGAGATTTATATTTTCCTCAACTTGTCTGAATAAGAAACATGTCAGGAATGTTTAAATTCATATGTAAACTCCAGGAGGGCAGTTACTCTCTTTTGGTCCCTGGGTATTCCCAGTGCCTGGCCCTCAATAAATATATATATATTTTTGAATGAGTAAGATCTCAATTAAGTTAACTTTGCCAATTCAATTTTATTTCTGTCATCTCCTACTTTTTAAATTTTCAACCAAAAGCATTTAAAAACTCTAGTAGTGAAAGTAGTAACACCTAACATATTTTTCTATAGATGACAATTTACAAAAAATGTTCAGAAGTATTATTTCTAATTCCAGGTCAGCTTTAGCCAACTCATTATTTGATTTGCCATCTATGGGTGGTTTTTTTTTCATCTATGGGTTTTTTATTTTCTAAAATATTCATCAGCCACTTTAAGAGGAAGGTATTTAATATAAAAACAAGAGAGACAGACTTGAAAATTTTGAATGTCAGGGTCTTTCATATACAGGAAACGATAGAACCAGTATGGGAACCAACCTCAGAACTGATGAATAGATATGGAACTTACTTGGGTCTTCTTGTCTTACTGTGAAAAAAAATCAAATAAATAAAAGAGTGAAAGGTTCTGGATGAACAACAGAGTTATTTCTTAAACTTTATGCTGAGAGTTTTAGAAATAGGACTGGAGAAACCATCAAACTCTATTTAGAATCAATTCAATATTATGTGAGAATAAATATCTTCAGATCACTCTGCTCAAGTCTCTCTTAATTTGAGAGAGACTTTTTGGAAACAAAGGTTAAAATGCAATCATTGGGAGATGCTTTTTCTTCCTTCTAGTTTCTCTGTGCTAATTCAAACTCTCAAAAAAACATTGACTGATGCGGTGCCTGTGTGGCTCAGTCTGTTTAGCATTCGACCCTGCACTGACAGTGTGGAATCTGCTTGTGGTTCTCTCTGTCTTTCTCTTTCTGCACCTCCCCTCCTCAAAAAATAAATAAGCATTTATTTAAAAACCCATTGACGGGTAAGATTTTTCCTGCTTACTCTGTTGTTTTCTTATTATTATTCGTCTATTCCCATTATTTCTTTGGAATGATTGTGTTGGTTTATCATGATCATTACTATGATTCTTGTTGGCTAATTACTGTTCATTATGATAATTTTAGAAAGGTTTGTCTTTTCCCTATAAGCATAAATATCTTGGGGCTGGGTGATAAGCATAAATATCTTGGGGCTGGGTGACCACATTTCTCACCATTTGACTGAGATGGAGGCACCCGCCAGACCTTTAGAGTTCCCAGCCTCTGCTACTCATTAATTGTAGGATCATGGGCAAATTACTTAGTTTCACTATTTTCTTCTCTTTGTAATAGAAATAACAATACTTCTCTGATATAATGTATATGCACATATAAGGCCCTGAATACAGTGCCTGACACATTGTTATTACTGAATAAACATTATTTATTATTATACTACCACATTAAGTACCAGTTAGTTTTAATTATAGTCTCCAAGTGGACATAGATAGTTGAAAACAGAATAAGCTACTGTAAATGGGAATAAGAAAACAAAAAGCTAGAAGGCAAAGAATGCTGGAAATATTAATAAAACCAGAGGCAGGAATATAAATCTTAAATTTTGGTAGATTCGCACTAAAAACAGGGCACAAAAGGGCCTCTACATATTGTAAAACACCAATGACAATATAATTGAGAGAAACATAGGACTTACTCTTAGATTTCTCAGGTCTTGCTTTAATAAAAAAGACAAACAAATTAGTGTGGTTGTCTGATGAAACGGAAACACATTTTCACTGATGTAATTTTCAGGATAAGCATCATGCACAGAACTGTAGTGTAAAGGGGCATTTGCCTTGGGAATGTTCTGGAAGGAAGGATACAGGGCCAGTGATGGAGCTCACCTTTCCCTTGCCCTTCTAGATCTCTGATTGTGTGAAATCAGGAAGTGTGTCATATCCCAATCTATTTTATTTTTTTATTTATTTATTTTTTTAAATGTTTTATTTATTTCCAGGAGAGAGAGACAGTGTGAGCAGGGGAGGGCCAGAGAGAGAGGGAGCCACAGACTGAAACAGGCTCCAGGCTCCGAGCTGGCAGTCAGCACAGAGCCGGAAGCGGGGCTTGAACCCACGAACCGCGAGATCATGACCTAAGCGAAAGTCGGACGTTTAACCGACTAAGCCACCCAGGCGCCCCTATCCCAATCTATTTTAGTTGAGTTACTTTCATGTTCTTCCTTTGTCCTTTTTCTTTTCTAATCCCCACCCACATTCTCCAATCCTGCAAGCCTCGCCATTGTTCTTTACTTGATTTGCCCATACTGTCACTCCCTTCTGTGAAAGCAAGTTCTATTTTCTCTTTATCTAACCCCACACTTAGCATGGTCTCTAAGAGAGTGGACACTTAACAAATATTTGCTGAATCAAGGAAGAAATTCTTCCTACTGTAGCCAGTATCAGAGTGCTCCTCGTATCCCTCTGTTCTCTTCAAGCACCCATTAGGAAAGTTCTGTGCCTTACAGGTGAAACAGGTATGGGGTATTTGAAGGCACACAGTGATCTCTGCTACAAGATGTATGAGGGTGAGCAGATGAGATTGCTGGGAGAGGGGTGATCATATGAGATTTTGTGCCTAAGTCCTGGAAGATTATTAGGGGTAAGATTTTGAAAACTTGATCAGGCCAGGAAAAATAATTTCAAAGTTATGTTTTTTTTTTAATCTAGCAAGAGTTGAAATAATTAATAAACCTTTGGGGCAGCTTGCTCTTTTGTTCTAGGAAATCATTAGAAAGGGCCAGGTATGAAAATAACAAAGCAGAGATCATATGATAAAGTGAGATTTGAAAAGGAGATATCATACATTATGACCCCGAGTAATCAAACTATATGTAAGAATGGAAAATCCACAAAGAAGAAAATTATTGTTTTCTAAGTATGAATTTGGATTACACTAATGGTGAAAATTGTTCCTCAAATGTGTAAGAATGTGTGTGTGTGTGTGTGTGTGTGTGTGTATTATTCTTAACAGATGACTAAGCAGCATTTTCACTGAAGTAGTGTTATGAGACTGAACTCAAGCTGTGTTCTTTTGGAGCTCGGGTTATAAGTATCAGTGCAGAGTATGAAAATTTCATTTTTCATCAAACCCAGCATCCCAAGGCACTCTGAAGAGCAGTGGCTTTTTCAGCATAAGAAGGCTTGATAAAGAAGGGCATCACCCATACAAGTAAGTAAGGTTCTTCAAATAGTCTCATGAACAGTGGATAAAATAAGAGGAACCATAGGTTTGTTCTGGTGGACTAGTGGGTGAGAATGTGTCATCACTCCCTTAGGGATTCTCAGAGCTTGAAGGGACAGGATGCATTGCAAGAGAGGCTGGACATTTTGCAGGTGGACGCACCGGTGATCCACAGCCAACTTTGCATGATGACCAGCCTTCTTAGGGCTTCATTTCATTTGCTTTCTCTTTGAGATATTGTAAAAAATAATAATACCTCAGGAATCAATACTACCTGTAATGTAACATTTGTCATTTTTGTTCCCAACTTTTCTTCTAAGAAAGAAAATAACACAGGGATGGCTAAAATCCTTTTGAATCACCAATCCCAGGTTCATTTTCTTCCCTCAATTATGAGTTCAATGTATATCCAGTTATTTTTAAAGATACTTCCATATATAAGTGGATACTTAAGGAATGTGGTGGGTTTAAATATTTTTGCTTTAATTTGCATAAGTGTCATATTTTAATATAATTTTGTATCAAGAAATGTCATTTTCTATCTGATTTGTTTCATTCAGCACTACAATATGAGATTTTTCGTCATTTATATACACATAGATACATAGTTCATTTTAAGCTGCTGTATATTATTCTATCTTATCAGTATATGTATATTAATTTAACTTTTATTTTTTAATTAAAAATGTCACAATAAACATCTTTGTACATGACATTTTATGTACATATGTATGACTTTAGTGTTTATACCCAGAAGTAGATCATAGAATATGCTTTAGATTTAGTTTAGATATTGACAAATTGCTGTTCAGAGAGAGTTGCCACTTTACCACATATCTTAATAAATATTTGATCTTATCAAGCTTTAAAATTTTGGACACTATGCTTTGAGAGAAGCAGTATCTCATTTTATGTTGTATTTTTTATCATTAATGAGATTTGGCAATTTGTATTTATTACGCATTCAATTTACCTATTGTGTGAACTGTTTATTCTTATTCTTAAGTCATGTAACTCACTTTTCTTACTGATTGTGGGATTTTATCTATATTCTTAATGCTGTATAACATTGATAGTTACGCATACTGCAAATATTTTCTTTCAATCTGATTGTCTCTTGTTCTTTAACCTTATTTGTACTGTGTTTGGTCCATAAAAAGTTTTGAGTTTTTGTTAGTCAACATTTATTTTGCCTTTTTCCTGGGAATTTTAAAAGGAAGCCTCCTCCCTATCTGAGTCATATATCAGTTCTACTGTGTTTTCTTAAATGGTAATCGGTATTTAGGTATTTAATTCAGCTGGATTTATTTTTAGGAAAAAACTGAGGTAGAACATCTATTTTATATACATATCATATATACATATACATCTATACACACACATATATATATACCCTAAATTGGCCCAAGGCTAATTATTGAATTCTCCATCTGTTATGAGATCAACTTTGTGTATAATAAGGATCTGTCTCTGGGTTCTTGGTTTTGTCTTACTGATTTTTTTTCCAGCTTCATTGAGATATTATTGACATCTAGCATGTAAGTTTAAGGTGTAAAATGTGGTGGTTTAATACACAAATACATTGTAGTATGATTACCACAATAAGGTTAATTAACACTTCTAGTCCTTCACATAATTACACTTTGTGTGTGTGTGTGTGTGTATACCACAATTCTAAAATTTGTAATGGCATCACAAATGGTATATATATGTACCCATTCATCTGTCGATGGACACTGAGATTGTTTTGATGTCTTAACTATTGTAAATGACTTTGCAGTGAGCATAAGGGTACAGATATCTCTTTGGGATAGTGATTTTATTTCCTTTGGATATATATTTGGAGGTAGGATTCCTGGATCATATTGTAGTTCTATTTTTAACTTTCTAGGAACCTCATAACGTGCCCTCACCAACAGTGGACAAAGTTCCATTTTCTCCATAGCCTCAGCCACATTTGTTTCTTCACTTTATGATAATAGCCATTATAGCAGATGTGAGGTGGTATCTCATTGTACTTTTGATTTACATCTCTCAGTGATGTTGAACATTTTTTCATGTACCTGTTAGCCATTGTATGTTTTCTCTGAAAAAAAAAATGTCAATCCAGTTCTGCTGCTCATTTTTTTTTTTAATATTTTTATTTATTTCTAGGAGAGAGAGACAGCGTGAGCAGGGGAGGGTCAGAGAGAGGGAGTCACAGACTCTGAAATAGGCTCCAGGCTCTGAACTGGCAGTCAGCACAAAGCCCGACACGGGGCTCGAACCCACGAACCGCGAGATCATAACCTAAGCGAAAGTCGGACGCTTAACCGACTAAGCCACCCAGGTGCCCCTCTGCTGCTCATTTTTAAATCAGAATTTTTGCTATTGAGTTGATGAGTTTTATATTTATAATACATGAGGTATATGTATGAAATGAACCTCTTATCAAATAGGGGGTTTGCAGATATTTTTTCTAATTCTATAAGTTGCCTTTTCATTTTGCAGATTGTTTCTTTGGCTATGCAGTAGCCTTTTAGTTTGGTGTATTTCCACCTTTATATTTTGTCCAATGTTAAGGAGTTTTTCCCTTGTTT